ACTTTCTTATATATATATATATATATATATATATATATATATATATATATATATATATATATATATATATATATATATATATATATATATATATATAAATTAAGCAAAGTCAGACTGGGTCCATTTCTTTTGATTGTGTGTTTATATTCCACGCAAGGGGAGTTTGTTTCTAGATCGTTTTTCAGCGTTAGCTTTAACAAGTTTGTGCAAGAAGCACTTGTGTAGCTTAATGAATTCTTGGCCTAAGAAGTAGTTTTAAATAGCTGAAGGAGGTTACTGCACAGCTTGCGGTGCTGATGAGAAACCAAGAGACGCAGACATCAAATGTAGATAATTAATTCTCAAAAGCATCACATTTCTGACAGTGCTGCAGCATTGCCTCTGAAGGGTCAGTTAACAAACCGACTGCTGCTATTGCTAATGATGTACTGAATAAAGAGAAGCTCAAAAGAAGAGGAGCTTTTTGAAAAAGAAAAAAAAAACATTTTCTTAAGCATATCGAAATGAGAGAGCAAATGTACAAATTGGTGTGTTTTGCTCTCTCAACTTTCAAAATAGTTTTTTCTTCTTTAAACAATAAACTTCATAGATGCAGGTTAGAGGCTTACAGGTGTTAGATTTTACATTTATAAGGAAGTTGACTGGTGGCAGAATGGTTTGATTGGGTGTGTAGCTGGAAACGGTTTGAAACTTAGGAACTTAGCAGATGGCTGGAAGGTCCGTCCATCTGTCACTGCATTTCAAGGCCTGGCTTCACTGAGATGAGCTGGTAAAATGAACCTTTTGGAGAAAGGAGTAGAGTTAGCATTTCCACAGAGGAAATACTGTTTCTTTCTTCTTTAATAAATGGCCATCTATGCAAACTTTCTGAGAGAGCCAACGGTGCCGAGGGCCCATTTCCATTTGAACTGTGGGCACATTTTCTTTGACTTGGTAAATTTCTTTAGAATTCAGTAAATCGAGTTACTGCCCAGTCATGATTACATACCCTGAGAGGGGTTTTGTGATCCAATTTTTGTTATTTTGAGGAAAAACTCATAAAAAATGTAAATCTAAAGGAATGTTTGACAAATAAACCATTTGTTTTTATTAGTTAGTCTATACAATATGTTTTCTTATTCTGTGTATTTTAGTCCACCTATTGTTGTCTTTGTCTCTTGTCGGATCCTCGTCGAATGTCATTTGTCGTTTGTCCGCCTGCCATCACAGTCGTACTGTAAAGTCCTGTGTTGGTTAGCTCTCTCTTTCAGTCCTCAGTTTTTCAGTTGCTACCAGTATTAGCTGTGCGCTAACTCTCTGCCGTGCCGCCTGTGTTGGACTGTGTTTGAGCTCCCTTATTAAATCATCTTCATCATCATCGCCATCATCTGGGTCCCGTGTTCATTCTCACCACCACTAACCACACCCCAGGACAAAACGGACATTGGGTTCTACAAGATTGCAATTTATTACTTGACTAAATTATTAAATTCACTCTTATATCTATAATTCAAAACTTGCAAGCTTCGAGGAGGAGTAAAATAACAAACTGTTACCTTTCTCTTGTTGTCTCTTTTTCTCGACAACAGGTATTTTGTCCCAACACAAATAAGCATTAATCTTAGGATGTTAAGATTTTTCCCTTATAAATTAATTATGTTTCTGGCTGTACAAAACTTACATTTTCTTCCATTTACTAGTCAGGCCACACAACTCGTGTGTAAAGGTTCAGGGCGGCGCTTGGCATTACAACGTGCTGATACCTGGGATCAGATAAGGATATTAAAAATAGAAATAATCAAAAGTTCATCAGTGATGTCTGAAGTGCTCTTCACATTTATTGGCACCCCTGGCCAAGATGTGTAACAAAAATAAAAAACAAACCCCTGAAAAGTAACTGCTTATCACAGTCGCATCTCTCACTGAAAATGTTACAAAAAGCCAGCCTTTCCATTTGTTCAATGGGGGAAAAAAGCTAGGTTGGACTCAACATCCCGCAGTCTCACAAACAAATCACAGTTTGTGAGACTGAAGAGTCGCGTTTCTCACCAGGTGGCCAGCAAACACAGGAGCACCATAGGGGATTAGATTCTCAGGACTCATTTTCACTAGTTACACCTCAGACTTCCTGCAGCATTTCCACAGAAATACTCTGACAATTCTGCAATCATCCGGTGCAGAAGAGAGGGACAAAAAGCCGAGGACAGAGAGCTGGTGGACTTATGCTCTTTAATGTGAGCAAAACAAAGGAGGTGATCTTAGATTTCAGGAGCAACTATTTGATTCTGTCAGCCTTGTCCTGGAGAGTCATCCTCTGGATATCAACATTGCAGGAAACACTAAGCGTCATCTTCATCAAACTGTCTTACACCATAGTATCTTCAGTCAGAGGCATCTTCAGAAACACTGGAACGTTGATCACTGCATGACTTCCTTCTTGTAGGTGTGTCAAAATAATTTTCATTTTGAGCCATATCAAGATTATGAAGGTCCTCAATGGTGCCTTATAAAGTGTTATCTTGATTGTTTTATGTATGTGTCCCTTTAGAGTCTAGAGGGCCACCTAAAGAGACATCCAGTCAAACTCGACTTTGACACTTGTGCTCTAAAATAATTCGTAGAAGAAATGGGAGTAATGTAAGTTACAGCAACTGGTTATTTCCTTTAGGGAATAATAAAGTATAAATAAAGTATTTTTTAAATTGAACTGAATGGTTAAAAAAAATGCCGTAATGCTTTCATTTACAATTTTCTACCCGACTTAACCAGGCGTTGCTATAACAGTGGTAGGCAGTGTGACTAAACCTTGACTAACACAAATATATCCAGTCATCTAGATGTACTCATTATTCGCCTTTGTTTTAAAACATGTAAAACCTTCCCTGACTTTACTCAACGTGTCAGTCTTGACTGTCTACAAGGTCTGTAGTCATAGCAACAGCCCAAACCTCTACACAGCAGAACTAAAGTGAGCACCACACTGCAACTTCCCGAGCAGCGAACCGCTATGAAGCTTCTGCATGAGTCATTAAAAACAGGTCAACTCTTAACATGGTGTCATCTCCTTCCTTTCCAAAGGGCTGAACCCATTCTGACCCGGATGAAGGAGGATCACACGCGCATTATTCTCCCTGCCATCGACAACATCAAGTACAACACCTTCGAGGTGCAGCAGTATGCCAACGCCGCCCACGGCTACAACTGGGGTTTATGGTGCATGTACATCATCCCGCCGCAAGAGTGGCTGGACAAGGGCGATGAGACGGCCCCCATCAGGTGAGGGCACGAGCCAGAGAACGGCCTCCATTATAGATGAGGATGTTTGATGAAATATGGATAGCTTTGGGATATGACTTATTCATGTATAGAGCCATCAAACTGTGGGGATCCGTGGTTCAGTGTGCTGCACACAAATAAAGCCGTCCCGTAGTAAGCTGTCTAATTAATATGACGAACGCCTTCATTCTGATGCAGGATCAGGAGGCCATTTTTGATGAGGTGTCATTAGTGTAATTGTGTGTTCCATCACCCCCCACCAACACGTGACCTTCAACCCCCAGCCGGAGGACAGGAAAGCATAGAATATTTTGGTCCAAAGGAAGTACAGTATAGAAAGTACAAACTTCACTGTGTGAGCAGAAGAATGACTGCAGAGACTAGTTATCACCATCAAGGTACTCTAAGGTTTTAAAAAGTTATAGATTCAAAACTTTACAAAAAAAAAGAAGAAAAGTTACATCAAACAGTTCTTACGTGAAGTGATGTTTCTTTGAGACACCCTAACGACTACCAAGCAGTATGAAACTTTTATTGGAAAATAATGTGTTTACATATTTGTTAAAATTACCACTATGACCTGACAGGGTAATGTGAGGAAGAAGTAATATGAGATGATGAGCCACTTACAGCATCTGAATGTGACTGTGTTGTTTAGTCATTTGCATAATACAGAATAAATTATGTTCCTTTTTGTTAAAAAAATAAACAAGTATGCAGTACTGTAAAAAATTATCCTCAACCTTACATTTGGTTTCATTATCAAACAAAATGTAATAAATGGCAAAGATAACCTGAGCTGTCTGGCAGTATAACATAAGAAATTCACAAACAGGTGAGAATCAAAGTCACTGGTTTCTGTCAGTCTGGGAAAGGTCACAAACCCAGAACAATAGTTCTACGCATTGTGGGCAGGAATGTCCAATTACCGGTTGTTAGGCTCAGGAAGCAATTTCTTTTTTTCATAGAGCGAGGTTTGTTTGGATAGCTTTTCCCTTCTCTATTAACAGTCATAATTTATGCATTTACTCAGATTACCTTCATTAGAAAAGCCGATTTGTATGATCTGAAGCATTTATTTGAGTTTATGGCAAAAGCAAAAACAGACCATTTTTTGAGAGAGCAAGCTATAAATATGGTATAAATGGACAACGCACAAAGAAGTCTAATTTGCAGGAGCCACAACTTTAAAACAACAACAAAAAAAAGAACTGAGGAGGTCAAAGGTTTCGTGCTGTTTGATCTGTTACTGGAATATTAAGTAAGGTTTCCAGTACTAGCATCTAAATTACAATAACATACATTCCAACGATTATCCTCTGAGGTTATTTCATTATTACAAATAAATAAAACATTGACTTTTTCATTTTGAGCAAGAAAAACAAGAAGAAAACTTCAAGCTAGCTTTATCGACTGACCACAGTTTGTCCATACACGCTTCCTCTTCTCAGACGCTGATGACAGCTCGGTGCGTGGAGCAAAGTGTCGTGCGTCTCTTCAAAGCTTCGTAAAAAACAAGACATCACTGCGTGTTGGCCGCTTGGCATGTGGTGCACAAGCGGCTCAAGAGGAGTTTCAGATGCCACGGAGTTGGTTCCATTTCCCTGTTGACAATCGGCTACCAGCAGACGGATCGCCTCGGGGGGCGGCTGAAGTGTGTCGGCTGTGTGGATCTCTATTGGAAATCGCTATGCCGCTAGTTTTCTCAGGGTCTGTGTCCATCAGTGACAGAGGCTCCGTCATCCTCAGAGGTCACTCTAACAGGCCTCTCTTTTTATGGTTGTTTGGATGGATTGAATCACACACACACAAAAAAATTTGCAAACGGATGCGAGAATGTGCAAAGCTGTCACTTTCTGAAAGGACAGGAGATTGAAACCATTTCAGAGACGTGACAGAGACGGACAAAGGCTTTCATCTGCAACTGCTGTGATTACTGACGGCTCGCTAAAACGGAGACGACAGAACGGAAATATTGTAGAGATGGCAACCGAGTGTATTTTCTAGAGGGGGCAAATAGGAAATACTCAACTTAAGTAGAATAACAATTTCCCAAGTGGAAAAGAAAAGTGTGTTTATGTTCTTGTACGGCCAAAATGATAGAGTCCAAAATCATTTTGGGAAAGATGCACAAAGCTTTTCAGTGTGCCACTTACTTGAGCATGATGCAAATGGACAGAATACATACATAGTGGATCATTTTGACTTAAGATATTACATTATTCATAACATGAACCTGATGTCAGCTAAGGTCAGCATTCCCTGCACATTTTTACTTCAAGATGTCATTCAGCTTAAAACTACAGCTAAAATCAAACCAGACGTCAGCTGCTTTGTTTCATTGTTAGGTAAAACACCCTTAGGTGTGGAAGTTGTTACTGCAGGTAAAAGATTCATCCATTTTCTGCACAAGTTGTTAAAAAAATGTCGGAGGAATCGCAGAAACTGTAAGAAGTTTATTGAACCGACACCATTTTGTAAAGCAATATGTTAGCTGTTCATTTACATCACCAAACAGAGAGCCGGGCTTCAGCAGATAACAGGAAGGTGGAAGACATTACAACAATGTTGCTTTGTTTGATCCTTTTGAGTGGAAATTCTTGATCTGTTACGGAAAATCGCCCTTCACACACCTTGTGACATCATCCATGATCTGGGCCTGATAAGGCTGCTCTGTTTTAACAATGAACTATTATGAACTATTACATGATTGAACAATTCAGCACATCTGATGATAAATCAATGATTTTTTTGTCATGATTTTTAATTTTGACACATTTGTTGAATATTTTGAATTCATGTTAAAGAATTTTTTTTTTATAATAGATAAGTTCCATTCAAGGACGACGGAAGGGAAGTTATAGAGAGGATCTGCAATATCCCCGTGTTGCTGAAAATATGTGAAAATAAATAAATGAATAACAAGGACAATATCACAAGTGATGTTTTAGCTTATATTACATTCACAGTTTGACATAGGTATGGTTTATCAAATTTGCTTTAGCTGTATTCGCCATTTTCCAACCTATTGCAATAAATGGACATCATTGCAATGGGACTGCACACTGGCCTGGCTGTGCGAAAAAAAAAAAAAAAAGAAGCGGTATCAGCAGATCAAAGAGTTCAGAATCCGGCTACAAAATTATGAATGATGCATCTCACTTCTCGATGATTCATGTTGCTCTGTCCCATTCTGTATTACTTGCTATACTGCAAGCAGTATGAGCAAGTATTAGGGCATGGGATGGGTTGACCCCTGCAGGCTCACCATCTGCACTCCAAAAATAACCAAACCATGTGACGGTGAATCAGTAAAACACCTCAACACCAGCAAGAGAGTCACTTTTTTTGTACAAGAACTCACTTTTTAAGGTTTTCATTCAAGTTACTGCCCTCATGCATAGCATAGCAACTAACTCTTTTTTTCTTTTTGTCAGAGTGACTCCTTATTTCTTTTCTTTTAGCTAATTTATCTCTGCTTCCAGATTGCTGCTGTAACATCTCAGCTCAGAACTAGCAAATTAAGAGGTGATTCTTGAAGCCACTTCAGATGTATGGAGTTTAGCCTCTGTTTTCTTTTTTTTTCTTTTTTTATTTTTAGGAGGAACAGATGGCTCTAATTATTCACATAATTGGCTTCAGTTAATTGGCTCTAGTAAGGGGGAATTGCCTTAATATTGCGCTTTTGATCACCTTGCACATCAAACAGAATGAGAACAGCATGGAACTTTGATAGGAACTACTTTACACTGCTTAAAATCGCCGATATGTACATCGCGCCTTCGGTGCCGACCGCTCCGCCGCTCCGAGGACGTCTCCGCGGCGGCGTCCGTTTGGAGAAGAGTCAGAGCCGCGGATTACGGCGCTAAGGTGCCGAATCTGTCCTTACGCACGCAGAGATGGCGCTGACGCTGCCAGGGAAAGCTCTGCCCAGACGATTTCACACAAAGTTTGTGGGGTGTGGAGCGGCGCGGCAGGTGGCCTGTCGAAAGGACGAGAGAGGCCGAGACCAATAAGGCTGAGTGTCCTTTGTTTTATCTGCGCAAACGAGACACTTAAAAGGCTCCTGGTCGCTCGCTTAAAATGTAAGCAAGACTTTATTTTCATTATGTCAGGAACCATAAGTGTGCCTGTGTAAGTTAGCAGGCATAAACAATTATACGCAGTGTCAGTTTTTGACAAAAAAAAGGTTTGTTCTTTTAGATCAAGTTATATAATCGCATGGAAGAGGGGGAGAAGTAAGCCACCGCTCTCTCAATTTTAACATTACTTTTGCGCCTCAGTCTCTCTGAAGTGTTCTGATTTGAGCGCGGAAGATTAATTTGACACAAGACACTTACCATAAATATCACGATTCAAAGCCATTTAAACCATATCAACAATAGTTTCGTAAAGGAGCTTTTGATATACAACTCAACTTTCTGAGTTGTCTTTTTTTTTTTTTAATCCAGGATGTTCAAAATAAAACTCAAAGAGATGGCTTACACTGTGTTTTATCTGAAGTCTGAGCTTAAAGGCCTCTTTCACTTTGGCTCTCTTCGCCGTACGAACCGGTGCACTCTCTTAGTACAGAGTCAATAAATCACAATGCAGCCCCAAGAAGCTCTTAAAAGTACCGCCACGTCCCTCTGGCTAAGGCTGAAATGTTCACTATGGAGTGTCTTTATCTATGTAATAACATGCATGGTTAACTCAGTTCAGGAATTATGTTGGATACATGAATTGAGATCATATCTGGTCTCTCCACAGTGTTAATGCTCCCAGTATAAAGGCTCTGACTGAAACACTGGGAAGACTTGGCAGGAGGGAAGCACTAAACATCGAGCTGAGAGGGAAATAAGACTGTTTCATACCCTGCCATCCTTCAGAGCTCTGCGATGTAGAAAATGCCTTAAGTAGTAAAAACATCTCATTGGATTTTTTTTTTCTCAGTAAAGTGGGGCATATATAACGCCATATTCTTTAATTCTGTCTGAGCTGAAGCTGTTTCATTGAAATTG